TTTCATTCTGTCAAGCTCCATCAAGTCAGCAAATGCAGCACTGTGTGGGTGTGGCAGAAACAGGCAATGCCCACACTTCGAGTATTTATTAAGAAGCGGGTAACTGACTAATCACATAGTCGATACAAGTTGTATCAGCTACACAATGAGTTGATAAGAGGTCCTACTGCAGCTCTGCAGTTTAAACTTACTAGGAGCCAGGGGTGCAGGCAGTTCAGCTCATACTATATTTAAACTGCAGAGCCGCAGCAGGGGTAGGTCCCAGACCCAGTGCGAGCCAGGACTGAGCTGTCCCAGCTCACACTGGGTCCTGGACTGCTGCGCCTCTGCAGTTTAATTGTAGTAAGAGCCACTGGAGCTGCAGCAGGGGTAGGTCTGGGACCTGGCATGAGCGCCTCTGCCTCCTCCCCAACAAACACACCATGGAGGTGGTGCTGAGGGGAACCGGCTTCTACATTCATCTCTTCCCACCCCCACCCCTGCTTAGGCTTTTCAGGTAGTCGACTAGTTGCTTTCATCCCTAGTATTTATATTTATTGCAGTGCTTCACCATCCCATAGCAACATACTGCAGCTGCACCGTGGCCGGGGGTGCCCTGCTCCACCGTTAGCCTCACGCTACCTGTCTGGCATCTTATGATGCCGCAGCCCTAGGATGCCACCTGCTGGGTGGTGCCACTGAGCAGCACGGTAGGGTCTTGCAGCCGCCCCTTTCACGAGGCAGGTGGTGCTTTAGGGCTGACAGCAGCTAACTGCAACTGCAGCGCCGCACGGGAGTGATTCGATTTTCAGTTTGCTGAGTTAGGGTCAGGACTCCAGTGAGAATCTTGGTCCTTCTCGATCATCTTCTGCTGGAACCTGCCCAACAGGATGAGTACAGCCCTTCCTCCGCAGCACAGAGCTAGCTCTTACCTTAAATCCTGCAGGGCCTTCTTGTTTTTCCTCCGCTTGTCCTCGTCAATGGGGTAGAGCTTGAACAGGAGCAGGCCCAGCAGGATCAGCCCCACAGGGGCTGCCGATACCAGCATCTTCAGAGTGAAGTGCACCAACTTGGGCTGGGAGCAGCCCCGGGTTTTGTACCCTGCAAAGCTAAGGCAAGAGGAACTGTCAAGCAAGAGAAATGTAGGCGAAGTGATTACCAGCCTCCTCTATCTGCACCAGCCCTAGCTCTGCAGAAGTACATTGAGGGGCGGGGGCACGGGGGGAGGGGAGAAAACGGCCACAAGACAGCTCAGGATTCCCAGGGAATTTCTGCTGGGCCAGCATGCGCTGCTTTAGCATCACATCACCCTTCCTCCATCTAGCAAGGAGCATCAGCTCCTCCAACCATTAAACCAAACAGCTGTCAAGGTCTTGAAGCTTCCAGCTTTGCTGTCCGTTCAGTCCTCTGACAAAGCAATGGAGGACCGCCAGCCCAGCAGGGATCAGCCTGTGACTTAGGTTCAGCTCCCCACTCCGACACAGACATCCCATGAGACTTGGAGCAAGTCACTTAGCAGGGCAGAGTCTACCTCTTGAACAAGCAGCACAGACAGGCTTCACAGGGGTTTCGGGAGGAGAAGTCAAAAACTCAGAGGTCTTCTGGGCCATATAAGTCCCAAGGAGAGGAATGACCTTAAGAGCTAGCACCTCAATTCACTATCACACTGGCTCCCAAGAGATGGGCCAGTTCCTAAGATTTCTCCTAGTGTCTATGGACAGTCAACTTGGAATGAGCCTCCCTCCTAGCACAGGAGCTGCCAGGGAGCTGCGCTGGCACTGAAGGCAGTTCCACGGGCACTGAATGGCTAATCCCCATTTCCTCCATGGCTTGGTGGCTGAAAACAGACACTCCAGACTACAGAGAGTGAGAGGCTTTTCTTCTTTGGCCCAGATACCAGGTCTCCTAATGAGTCCCCTGCCTCCAGGCTCAGCATGCAGACTCACTCTAAGCTGAGTGTGGAGATCCCCAGAGACACCCCAGAGGCAAACTTGGTGAAGAAGACGTAAAAGGAGAAGAAAATAGCTTCATGGCCACGGGAGTCTGGGTGCTGCAGGTTGAAGTCATCTATGACATCCGGCAGCATGGACCTGAGTCAAGAGAAGATAGCGTGTGAGCCTCAGCAAGAAGCTACAAGATCCTCAAGTCTTCAGGGATACTCACGCTTCCCTTTCCAGGAGTCTCCTCATCCCCAGGTTAGACAAATCCCCCTCCAAGAACAGTGCAGAATTCTCCTGAGGCAGAGGCAGAGGAATGGGCCACAGACTGTGTGGTCACCTGCTTCTTGAAAAGGCCCAGTGCCCTACATGCCGACAAGAGGGGCTTGACGCCTTAGGCAAACCCACCCACATCCTGGGTCGGACCCCACCAGTAGAGATGTCAGCCAGACGTCACTGCTACATGTCACTGCTGTGCTTCAGCACGTGCCTCCCCATCTGACGGTGACAGAGAACTTGGGTTGCAGTTCTGTGGTAGTCGGAGGCCTCCCACTCACCATGGTAAGAAGAAAGCAGCAGCAACACTGATCCCAGCTGCAACGGCCACAACGTAGGTGACAATCAGGTTACGCTCCAAGACAACGACCATGATGAGGAAGGGAATTGCGGACTATGGAGGCAGGAAAGAACAGGTTTCACCTCACCCACCAGGCAGTGTATAATTAGAAGTACCCCTTCTTCCTCCCCTTTGCTGCCAGGGCTCTCCCTAAGAGGGCACAGTGTGGGGCAACCCCCACACCATTACCCCAGGCATGGGATCCAAGGCCCCCACTCCCTCTCTATCCTTCCCCACTCTCCATTGTACCCCTTCCCTCCCCTGCAGTGCCCTTTTCCCCTCCGCTGAGCAACATGAGCCAGATTACTTGGGAATGGGGAGGTCTGTTCTCCTTGTAAGCTAAGCGCTTAGGCAGCTGCCCAGGAGAGATTCAAGTGCAGCCCATCTGATTAGCAGAGGGCCCACAGCCAATAGCATGGTGGTGCACTGAGGCATGTGCCAACATTTATTCCACCCACGGATGGAAAAAAAATGAAAGGGAACATGGCTGGGGGGCCTGGTGCAGGAT